ACCGGATGCCCTTCCGGACATTAAATCTAATGTAGTAAACGCCTGCCACATTAAAAAAAAAAAAAAAAAAAAAAAAAGGGACAGGCACGGCAACAAACTCACGGCATACTGATCCGATGTCACCCGCCTGATGGCCACGCCGGCAAGAATTAGAACTACGCCGAATGCAAAGAGTATCAGGTTGATGAGCACGAGGTAGGTCTGCCGGGTTTCAGGTCAGAGTATACAGCCTGGCCAGCACGCGCCAGCGGAACTGCAAAAGTATCGCGCGTGATACGCACCCGCGAGAACCACTTCTTGGACTCGTGCTTGAAGACAGTGTACGGATACAGCGGCGCGCCCGCCGCCGCAGGCGCGGCCTGGGGCCCAGTGTTCTGTTTGAACATTTTTGATGCAAACGAGCTCGCGCCGCTACCGCTCTTCAAAATACTGATCGCAGTCAAAGCAAGCTGCACGTACAACCGTAGGAACCTACTACCAGCAAGTTTACGTTGACCAAATTCATCGAATATAATTCTTGCTTCGAAAAGAGCGCGCCCTCGTTGACTGCAAAAATTGCCGCCACTTGTGTCCAGAAATCCTGGCATGGAACAAGTAGCCCTAAATAGTTACTTTCGCACCATCCGTTCGTACAACATTCTGCATGTATGTTTCCATTACTCTCTTTGCTGTTCAGCTGAAGTTGGAATAACAGCGAAACTAAACGGATTCTCTTGACAAATAAAACAACCCAAAAAACATCGGAAAAGGAAAAGCGGTGCGAAATTAATCCCAATCTCCAAGAAGCCACAGCAAGAATCATTCGAAACCTTGCTCAATGAAATTCATGAAACGTTTTCCGTAATGCAAGGAATTAACCGCTGATATATTTCTCTGCACAAGTTGTTCAACTGCAATATCCAATATAATATTACTAAGTGGACTTACCCCATTTCCCAGCAGAGACTTGAAAAAGTGCTCCAGCTTCTTCACCACGCTGTACTCGGTGAACAAATCTATCACTCCCAAATAGTAAATCTCTCCTTCTGAGCCTTCCACAAGGGCTCCGGACGACAAGATACCACCCTCCTCACTATAAAATGCAAAATACTTCCTCTCCGGAGGCAAGTCCTCCGGTAATACAGCGCGGCTAGGTTCCACAAACGTTTCTGAAACCGTGGCACGCCGCCGCGACAGCGACAAGGATCGCGACCGCGTGCCATTGATTGAGCGCCCAGCGCGCTGGAGAGTTTGCTGCATCACCAACGCTGGCCCAGGATTTGCTCCTGGCGACTGATGCTGCTGCGACCGCATTTGCAGAGTCTCGGCGCTCGGCTCGAACGCCGACAGTGTCGCGTCACGAATGTTCTCGTCATTTCCTTTCGACAGGTGGTGGATCCCAATGAGAATCGAATAGTCCATTATATTCATGCGTTGCAGAAACTTTTAGTTTGTGTTCAGGGAAGCTTTCAGACATTTTCACCACAAAGAAAAACTCTTACCGCAACGTCATTGTTGAGTTGTTCTAAAAATAATCCCCGCTTTGCCGCTCCCAAATGTATTTTGCGCCCGCGCTTCAAAAAATTCAAATCCTTGAATGTTGTGGTAGGTTTCACATCTTCCTCGCGAACAATGCGCCCAA